TTTTAGGACTTACAAACAACCGTTATGTGAACAAAACTATAATACTCTCTTTAGCAACTTTGTTGCGAGAGTATAAAAACGTATGGTAAATTATAAGTGTGATCGGTTGACATTCGGACTAGCGCGGAAATTAGAGCATAGCGTTGGAACCGCTTACTTTTCAATGAAAACTTTCTTAGATTCATTTCATCAACTTTCACGATAATTTTATAATACTCGCAATGAAAAATAAATACGAGTGCTTCATAAAGCTCTTCATGCACCCATAATGTGATAATACGATAAAACGCACTTTTTCCAATACTTTTTCCAGTGCTCGAAACAGTTTGAATAGAGTTTTCCAGTGAAGACTTCAAGACCTTCTTCTATTCGGTTTTTATCTCCTTCGGAGCATTTCCACATTGGCCCATTGAGTTTGCAGAATAACCAGAATTATACATTATCTTGATGAAGGCACCAAAATAGACTTGCGCGTTCGAGCTATCAACCTAAAAAACTAAAGACAAGCCATTGTTTTAAGTGTCAGAAAATTTGCCAGTTTCCCGCTGCTTTACATTCATTTATGTCTTCGAACTTAGAAGACTTAAAACACTTTTGCAATAATTTTACGGAAATATAAGAAACGGGTTGAAATTTAGAAATTTTATAATTTCAGAATTTATGTAGATATTTTCGAAAGCTGTAAAATATACAGTGAAATCTGATTTATTACACAAAATTATTTTAAGTTTTGGTATTTACAATGGAATAACAAGTATTGCTTTCACCTCATTACTCAATGAGCTTAAGAATATTTCTTTCTTAATGGAAGGATTCTCGACAATGTCAATATCGTTGCCAGAGGAATAACAGTTATCAGAAAAAAATCCTGTAATGTATTATTACAACTCATAACGACTCTGGCAGCACGCACTTTCCATGTCGACGACGGTGAAAGTCAAACTCGGGGCAAAAAAAAAAAAAAAAAAAAAAATTGTGGAACTTTTTAATTTAAATTTCGCGCGAAAACCCATACGTCGAAACATTTTATTTTTTATAGGTTGACTTGACTGTAAGTGACATCTGTGCCAAATATGACATCGAAGTAATTATTGGTATTTAGTATACGCATGTCTTCCTGAAGTACATAAAGAACATTCGGCGACTTTTAGGATGAATGAAATTATTCAACAAAGAAGTTCCAATTAATTTTCTGTACGGAATTAAATTTCTGGTTCCGAAATGTTCAGAAAATTAAGAAAGGCCTTTGGTGATAATTTTTTGTTGCGAGCAAATGCTTTTGTTTGATACAAATTATAGAAAGAGGGTCGAGAACGCGTTGATGATGAACCACTTCCCGGACGGCCATCAAATTTAATTTTTCCAACTTATTATCAACACGTCAATAAAATAAAGGAACTGGTGCATGAGAGTCGACAATTAAATGTCAGAGATCTTACTGACACTATTGGAATATCGGACAGATCAGTGAAAACCATTTGGAAAGTTCATTTGGGCCGAAGAACATTGAAAGCACGATTGATTACAAAATCACTAAATTTTTTGGGAAACAGTCTGACAACAAAAGTCTGTGAAACAATGCTTTTCGACTACCAGGATGTCACGAAACGCATTATAACTGGCGATGAGTCTTGACTGGAAAAGAGGCCGCAATTAATGTATTGATTCTTCGTGGGTTTTCTTCACATTTTCAAGCAAACACCCTATTCGCCTGATTTAGATCCGCGTAACTTCTGAATATTCACCAAACTCAAATGAGCGCTCTAGGAAAACCATTTCGAATAAATTGAAGGTATTAAATGTGAAGCGCATAGAAGACTATTCCGGAAATTGACTTCAACAAACGTTTCGAGTATTAGAAAACATTTTGGCATACATGGTTTTGGGTCAAGGGGGATTGCTTTGACAGGACGGCATAGATTTCGAAGAACAAATTAAGAATTTAAAATTTTAAATCAATTCGTACTATTTGTTGCTCATACAACTATTGTATAATGGGTGTCCGAAAATTAAGATTAAAATTAAAAAGAGGGTGTTCCAAAATTAACGTAAGTTTTAAATGTACCGCTATTTATGTTTTTCGTATCCAATCACATTGGTATTCCTAAAAAAAAAAAAACAAGTCGACAGTTGTGACTTCTTCATTATACAAAAATGAAGCATATTTCAAGAATAATTAAAGCTTGGTGGCCGCAGTTCTGAATTTTCATACAAAATACGATCGGAATAGTGGTTTAACTCCGCTAACTATATATACATATTTAGAAATTGCGGAAAATTTAATTCTTGCGTTAATTTTTTGACACCCTGTATGTATAACACTTCGAAAAATTTCATATTTTTTTTTTTAAACAAAACCACTTAGAAGTTAAGAATAATGTGAAACTTAAATAAAGTAGCACTTCAGCACTTTTCTTAACTCATAACTGCATTCCTCCTTCTCAGCATATAAGTCGGGGAGCATAACTCCCATCTAATAATAAATAACTGTACAAAACACCACAATTTACTATCAGACCAAACAAAAAGGAGCGAAAATTCCAACAGAACCCTCATTTGTTGGTAAATTCATAAACATATCTACAAACAGCTGCACTTACATGAATAATCGCACGAATTACAAAAGCATTTGCTGCATGCAACAACCCCAACAACCCACAACCATTTAGCACATAAACAACGCTGTCGCACACACAAAAACACAAACGATAAAAAAATGTACACACATACATTTGCTTGCAAATAAATACCGAAATGTGCTTTATAGTTTATTGACTGCAGTTGTCAATTGCGATTATCTACGAAATGTGTGCGACAGACAAAGCCCAATAAGGGGCAAAAAGGGCGCAYAAAATCACTTATGCACTTTTTAAGCGCAGATAAGGCGCACTTAGGCATATGCGTCGGTCGCATGTGTGCGCCACCGGGCTCATCAAGTGGGGGAGAACAACCGGAAAGAACACACCACAAACATTTACGCAATTTCCTGTACACAAGTCGGCCGCAACCATCACCCACACAGACAAACACACGCACACACCATCCAATAACTCACAACACATTTCACTCGAGCTCCACTACTTATAAATATTTAACTACGCCATTATGCTTAGTCACCAGAAGTCAACATTCCTTTTTCTTCTTTTTTCCTTTCTTTTTGTTTTTGTATTCAGCACTATATTTCAGAGACTTGTGTCTCGCTGCCTTCGCACTTTACAATAACTAACGGTCTTTTTCGCATATTTTTCTTCCCTTTTCTGCGTCATTTTGTCCGCATATGTATGTATGTATGGGATTTCATGCTCGATAATGATAATATGTGCACACATGCATATACACACGCACACAGCTGCAATGACAATGAGAAAGTCGCGCACACGCCACCCAGCTCGGACGAAGACAACTCACCCACAGAGCTGAATAATTGCAAGCGTTTGGTCGACAAACCGCCCCTGGTAAGTACGGACATGCCAATAAGTACTGTTATAAAATATAAATATGCATGTGTGTGTATAAATAAAAATCAAAATACAAGGCGATTGCTTGAGGCGGTTGACAGCTAAGCGAGTGAAGAATGCGCATTTCTGCTATGAATATGTATAAATATATATAACAGTATATATGTATGTATATGTATGTGTGTAGTTGAAAAGCGCTCAAAGCGCAGAGCCAAAGTGAATTGCAAAAGTTTTGCTTTCCCGCTATTATTTTTGCATATTTTATGCGATATTGACGTTGATAAGGGTGACTGCGCTGCCGCGTCTGGCCGTCGCATTTGGTTGCCTCATCAACTTTATTGCTCGATACTGTTCGATACTCGTACATTGAAGGCTGCTTTGCGTCGCTATTGTCTAGAGAATGGGTGAAATTTTGTTTGCCGCCGCTTGCTAGTGACTGCTTATGTAAGCACAATTATATCCTGTGTATGTGTGCGTGTTAACAAATTTTCAGTCATTTTATTTCGTTTTGGCTCAAAGCAGCTTATTTGGGTTGCACGATTTCAGTGTCACTGCGTTAATGCCCATTGGGGCAGCAAACTTTAATTTAACTAAAATTGCTTTGGCGCTGTGGCGCACACACACATACAAATTTAAGGTTCGGATTTAGTTGTGTTTGTGTGTGTGTTCGCCAGTAAATACTTTGCATGAGTGATAAAATTGATTGGCATTGCAAAATTGGCTGTAATCCTCGAGAAGATCCCTTCGCGTTTCATTTTAATATGAAACTTTTATGAAGTTTTATTTTAAATTAAGCAATTTGTTAAAAAGTTACTCCAATATTGTGTTTGTTTATCATGAGAAAAGCTATACAAAAGAGATATATTTAAACTCTTGATTCAAATAAAAATGGATATTAAAAATGTTTAGTAGTAGTAGTAATAGGGGAATTGTATCCAACGAATCAAAGTTTGTACGGAATTCTTGACCTGAAGCGTTGCAGTTATCCGTCACTTCGTTTGTAGGTTCCAAAAGAGGAATACTTAAAAAACTCTAATTTCTTCTTCTTCCCTATTCATCCAATTTTTAAGAGACATCCTCAAGCAAAAAGGGCTATTTTCAATAGTTTTTTATGAAAAATTAAATATTTTATTCAAATATTTATTATTCCAAAGGAATATAGTGTATCTTACAAAGGTATTGTAAAATTTTTGAAGCAAAATAGTCAAAACTATGTCATTACGATGTCATTTTCAACAATCCCTCGGAAAATGTGACGGAGGCACACACAGATCTTCTTAGAGGATCATAATAAAAGAAAGAGAACAAATACCCGTTTTAATGAAAACCATAAACTAGATATTTAACGAAGGAAAAAAGGAAGTGAAAATTGTATTTTCGTCATACGTTTTTTCAAAAAAAAAAAAAAAAAAAAAAAAATTAAATGTTGGTGTAAATACCTCAATTTTTTTTTTAATATACGTAACAAAAATATCCTTCGTTCAAGACCTCATAAATTATATATCAAAGCGTCCTTAATATCGTTTGAGTAGCGAGAAATCTTGACAACCGACTTTGAAATCACTGTTTTGAAAAACAATATAGCTGAATTCAAGGGCGTAATTTTCATGGCTGTATCTCCAAATTAGTTACTCGGATCAACTTGTGAATTCAAGACAATGTTCTGGAGATGTTATAGAATTAAACAAGTTCATCTAATTTCTTTTTAAGATACATTTAATAGGGCTACTACATATTATTAGTTAGTAAATTGTCAATCTTAGAGTAAAATATTTAAATGACAGGCTGATCGTAGAATTTAAATTTAAACAAGAAAAATCGTAACTTGTGTTGGCCTATCCGACGAAGCTAAAATACCTTTCAGAAATGCAAAAGCTTAATACAAGAATTTGATTTTAATCGATCTTCATGTATGACAGCTAAAAGGAATAGAAGTGCGATCTGAACTATTTTTTGGAAGATTCTAAAGTTGCTTTGATCAAAAATTCAAAATTTGTGAAGATATGTCGTCAAATACAAAAATGTTTTCCATATAAGGACAAGATCTTAATCGGTCTGTTTGTATGACAATCAAATCTGAAGTGGCATTATTGACAGTTCCGACAGATCAGCAGCTTCTTGGAGAAAAAATTGCGTGTATAAAGTTCCAAATCGATATCGCATCAACTGAAGGAGCATTTGTGGTATGAAGATAAACGAACATGATTAAATCGACTCAGATTGTCATGCTGATCATTTACAAATATTTTTTATAGTATCTCCGATGTTTTCGTCATCTATAACAGGCAGTTTTTTATTTATACGTCAATCAAACATTTATATCTTGTTTGTCTCTTTCTCTCTAAGCTTCACTGAACAATTTTTATACCTTTGAGGTATATAGGTATTGGACAAAATGTCATATTTGTTGAAATGGTATGATCTAAAACAGTTCAAAAATATAAAGAATCATATTTTGAAATTCAACTTTATAAATATAAATTTAGAAAAAAGGTGTCTTTCCCAAAAAAGTGGTTATTGCGGAATATTAAATAAATCGTTTCTGTTAGTCAGCTTTAGTATCTAAAATTTCAAACACTTTTTTCTATGAACATGATTTCTGAAATTGGGCAAAGATTTTGCTAGGATATTTCTGAAGTCAGGCAGTAACATTATTTTAGAACTTCATCGCCGTCCATCGAGGACTTTTCGAAAATGGTGACTATTAATATTGTCGCAGAGTGCGTCATTTATAGCAAAAAGTCTATTTTAAACTGTTGGTCTTCGCATAAAAGATAAATAAAACCTGCTATTACTGCTAAATTTGTAAAGGTGTTTTAGGGCTCAAATTAATATATTCCATTAATATATTTCCGGGATTATTAACCACTTGCTTCAAGAGACGATTTGAAAGCTCTTTTCTGAAAATTTTTTACTGTTGAGATATTAAATTTTATAAAATGAAGCAGTAAGTAAATAATATAACATTTTCAATTTTCTTTTATATACATGAAGTGTAGATCAATTCCGAAACTTTCGAAAGTAAAGCCCACTTATTGCTTTATACAATTTAAATTTATACGTGGCATTTCTATTGCGGCTTCTTATAAATTGAAATTTAATAACTATTGAATGGAAAATACTTCAGATAACTTCCCAAGTATTTGTTTGACATTAAGTCGTCATTAAACAAAGTTTATAAATATTTTTCTTACATAAATAAATTACTTTATCATTATTTTTTTTTTGCTTGTTTTCGATTTCATAGCACAGTTTGAGGCGTACAGAACTGAAATCAGTACTACACACTTCTTATGCATATTTAAACTCAATTTATCAACTATATTTTTTCATAATTATAATTTCTTGGCATTGAGGAAACCAGTATATTCATATTCCTTGCAAGTAAGCAAGTGGTCTGCCGCCGGAAATCCCCAAAATATATATATAGAAATGCTAAAAACCAAAACAAAGTCTTCAAACCCAAACTACGAAGACGTAAATTCCTACAACTACATATAATTAACAGCAAAGTGTTTTCGTTTATTTTCGTTCAACTACTTCGACAGTCAAAAGTTCCACGGAGACAACTTTATACTTTTGCTTACGCATCTCGCATTTCGCATTGTCGTTTGTGGTGCTTATAACTATGCTTAAAGTATACTTAATTGTCTGCAGACGAGTTAGGCAAGAAGTTTGCGCAAATACTTGTGTTTACAAGTGCATCAAATCTTTTGCTATCTTTGCGCCATTAATATATACACGAAAACAAGTCTGCGTACTTATGCAATATATATTTACTTACTTGAATAACCGAACTTTGGCATATAAATATACGCAAAGAAATATATGTGTGTGTGTTTGTGATTCAGAAGACAAGATAAAGCAGACGTTTTTGCAAATAAGCTAACTATTGCTTTACGCTCCAGGCCAGTGATAAATGCATATGCATTAGTATATAAGGTACTACTGTACGCGAAGACAGAGCCAGATAAGTGAAATAGGTGAGCGTAACGGTAAATGTAACTAATATGCACGTTTTTGGCCAAACTTTTATCAGACACAATGTTGGTGTGTGAGTTTTTGCTCACGTGTATGTACGTTTGTAAATAAATGCTATGTATATATGTTAGTAAACCATACTTAGTATTAGTGCTTATGACTTAAGTGGAAATATGGCTGATGCTTTCGCCTGTCACGTGTTGGCGCAACATTTGTTTCGACTAAACCAAAACACTTGTAAAAGTTTCACCCAATCACCTGGCGATAAAAGTGCACATAACAATTTACCTCAACATACATACGTCAGATTTAGAGTGTGTTTGAGAACAAGTTTTATAAACATTTATTATTGTTGTAATTTATCAAGTTATATAGGAAAATGGAGAATACAAGAAATATTTCAATCAATACTGGAAGTTGAGGGTTTGGTGTTCTCTTGCTATTTATTTGTTTTACGTATCATTCAATACAAAATGAAGTGATTGACGATATAGCTGAAAGTAAATCGCTAGAAAGTGCCTCTGCAGAAACTAATTAATATCGTTATGTTGATTTGAAATAACAATAATGAAGCTTTTCGTAAATGGTCGTGTTCTTTCAGTGAAAACTTAAGTCACAACTTCTTTGAACTGCCACAAGATCATTAGCTGAACAAAAGGTATAAACTCTTATGTAATACAGCTCCTTTCCGCCACTAAGAGTGCATCCACGGCTGCAATATAACAGGGCAACAATAACTAAGGCTTGATCTGGTCCTCGAATACAGGAAAATGATAATATCTCCATCCAAAACTCTAGCGATCCACTTGTACTCTGACTTTCATTTGAAACAACAGTCACTTTGAACAACTCATTTACTAGCAATTTATTTTAAACAAGTAAGGAAGGGGTAAGTTCGGGTGTCACCTAACATTTTATACTCTCGCACGATAAAGAGATAATCGATATTTCAGGCGTGGTTGTGAACCGATTTCACCCATATTTGGTACGTGTCATCAGGGTGTTAAGAAAATATT